AAAAAAAAAAAAAAACTGGCGTGCTTGGCTCACTTTTCTCTTGTACCCTGCCATGCTAGGTTATGATGACCTGACCCAGGGGACAGCAGCAGGAGACTACACCAAAGGTGGCTATGGTGGATCATCACAGGCTTCAGCCAAGTCTGCCGGTTCTGGGCCTAGCAAAGGTAGTGTTCACCTCTCCTATTCAGGATTGAGGCTTGGAGTAGTTGTCTCCTCCTACCTGACCCCCTCTCAGGCAGGGCTATCCCTGAGTACCTTTGGAGCTGGGAGAGCCTAGAGCTGGGACCAACTGCTATGGGGACCAACTACTTTTCCTCCTAGGAGTATCAGTGTCTTCAAGTACCACTGGCTTGCCTGATATGACTGGTTCTGTCTACAGCAAGACTCAGGTGAGGAGGAAGACAGGGGTGAGTGTATACGTTTGTTGGAAGGTATAGCCCAACCTGACCTTCACCATTGTCTTCTCTGCCCTTAGACTTTTGACAAGCAGGGATTTCATGCAGGGACCCCTCCACCTTTCAGCCTGCCCTCAGCCTTGGGTTCCACTGGGCCACTGGCCCCTGGAGCAGCCCCTGGCTATGCACCCCCACCCTTTCTGCACATCTTGCCAGCCCACCAGCAGCCCCACTCACAGCTGCTGCACCACCACCTTCCACAGGATGCCCAGGTGAGTACAGTGATGGAGCAGCCCTGGGCCAGAGTTTCTTTTCTTCCAGCCTTGACAATCTTTTCCCCTCCTCCTCAGAGCGGCTCAGGTCAGCGAAACCAGCCCAGCTCCCTGCAGCCCAAGTCTCAAGCCTCCAAGCCTGCCTATGGCAACTCTCCATACTGGACAAACTAAACCCTGAAGAGAGTTGGGCTGGGGCAGGGCTCACCCTTGGCAGGAGAAAACACATGGAGCACATTTCTGGGAGCCCAGTGCCCTTTCCTATAACTCCTGAGATTCCCGAGACATGTACTGTCAGCCAAGGCTCTGTGGGGAGCCTGCCTCTCAGACTGGCTGTTGTATGTAATGTATTTATATGTGTATTTGTAAATGTGACAGAAGTGTGGGGGAGTGGGGGGTGCAGCCACAGATTAGCCAGGTCTGCTTTCCCCATTTAAGCCCCTTCTTGCTGTAGCAAAATAAGCCCCCCACCCCCTTTTGCCTTCAGGCCTTTTACCTAGCCCCTGGCTGCCCAGTGGGCTATTAAGAATAGTTTCTGAAGGGCTAGTTCAAGGCATTTTGGGTATTGGGGTCAGGTACCAATGAACAATCACGACTTAACTCCTTTGTAATCCATTATTTGAGTTTTCTTCCCCTGTGTAATTACTTTATACCTCTGTTTTAACAAAACTGGTCCATTTGTCACTTTCCATGGTCCCTTTTTGCCCAATTTTGATCTGGGAATAGCAGAAAAATCCCCCTACTCAAAATAAATCTGGGCACCTGTTTGTCTTCATTTAGAGCAGGAGCTTCTGCTTCTGGTCTTGTCCCCAGAGACTTGTCTTCCTCTGATTAACCTTGAGGGTAATAGTCTGAACTGGGGCTCAGAGATGTTCAGCCAGTTAGCTCCCTCCCCTTTAAAACCTGCAAGCAAAGAAAGGCTCCTCTACTCCAGTTGTCCTGTATCTGGGAGGCAACAGTTTTAGGGGTTTTCTCTTGCCCCAACTCCACCTAATAAAAATGTGAGAGCATGCACAGTCTCTTGTGTGGTGTGACTGAGGGATAGCTCAGGGAAGTAGACTTCATGTGGCTGCAGCGTATTAACATCAAGATTTAAAACTTGATTGGTACTTTGTTTTGTTGGACCCTTCTCTTGGCTGAAACAATAATGGCTAAACCTTCTCACAGGACCCTGTCAACCAGAATACCAGGGCAGGGTGATTTCCTTTCTAAGTCTCAACTGACTTTAAAATCTGGAACAAAGCCAAGAACTGAGAGCCGAGTTTTAGGCCTGAGAGAGAATACCTGTCTGTCTATCCTTTGCTCTTCATAAATCAAACAATCTTAACTGCCACATGGTGGAACAGATGACCAGTAAGTCAGGGTGTTAGGAGGCAGGCACGTCTCCGCTTGCTGGTCCACAACTCTGCCCCACCTAGCAGGCAGCTCAGAGCAGTGTTGGTCTCTCATTTCCTCTATCATTACTTCAGACCAAGCTAAATAGGCAAACAAATGGTGCTGTTTTAAGTGTTGGTCAAGTTAGAACCAGCGTAGGGTCAGTCAGTCTTTTCCTGTAAGCTTTTTTGGCCTCTGCAGTTAGGAGCCGAGGCCATTTCATCAGATGAGATGCATACTTCCTGCTAAACATAGCTTGAACTTGTTTAGAAAAAAGGCATGTGTCCACAACTGAAACTGAATATAGAGATTTTTAGTAGACACATGTTCTCTGCCCGATGTGTTATTAACAGCCAGCAGTTAGGAACATAAATTACAACGAAAATGTTTGCCTAAGGAAGGCAGCAAAGTATCCCTCCATCCATTCACTGAGCTACTCCTATCAGCTGACTCCTGTGTCCTACATCAAAAGTTTTAAAGACATGCCCACTTGTTAAAGCTTCTGTTGAAGGAATCAAAGCCTCCTTTAAAGGAATCTTCCTTAAAAATATAAGTATCGGGGATGGTAATTGTACAGGGAGGTGAGTTGGACAGGATGTTATAAAAGGGAGATCAGGAACTTTGGGTTTTAAGTCTTCATGAGTCCTGGGCTTTATCTGTCTGCGAGATAACAGTCAAAATATAGAGACCAGCTTTTAGTTTTCTTTAACACAAGGAAGAAAAATGAAGAGGGTCATCCCATGGGAAGTAGCAATACAGGTATATTTTATTTCACATTTTATTAGTAGACAGATGGGCAGGAAAAGACAAAATAAACCACTAAAAGGGAAGTCAACACAAAATGCATCAGATAATCTTTTCTCATAAGTTAAACTGAAGGAAAACATCTACAATTTCAGCTAAGAAAACTATTAAAGTCAGGTGTGTCCTGCTGGTTTCAGAATAGTTGAAAGTTGCATCTCTGAATCTTAATTGTAAATGTAAACCTTGTTTATAAAAGGTGGGAGCGGTGGAGAGTTAATTTTCAATGGAGAACTATACATTTTCCCCTTCCAATCTCCTATTACATTCCCCAAACATAAGGAAACCAGCATGTAAAGAAGCAAACTGCCAGGGCAAAAAGAAGAGACAACAAAAACGTTTGGCCTAATACAAAAGAACTCTGGAATGACAAGAAAAAGGGCGGGTGGGGGTGGGGAGACTTTCAGAGAAGCAAAAAATGGAACCATGATACTTTGTCCACCCAGCCTCAAAATACACAGAACTGAAGAGCATCCAGTGAGGCCTCAATTAGTTTTAAAAGGAACCTAAAAATACAGGATTTGGGGCTCATGTCACGCCAAATAATCAGCATAACTGTACTCATAAGTTTCTGCCTTAAGCCTGAGACCTCCACTCCCAAAAAATACATACTTAAGTATTTTTCCACAGGATGTGTTCTCAAGGACAGCTCTGGAACCAGTCTCTAGGTTTTGTAAGTCTAAACTATGAGAATGTCTACCTGCTACCAAGTCAACACACTCCAGTCTTCTGCAACTGATTGTACTCATCAGAGGCAAACCCAGCCCCATCAACAGTAATATCCCAAAGGGCTGAGAGGTAGGACCTCAACTTGGCGCTCTGGCTCCCTGAGTCAATGTGCAACAGAGGCCAACAGGGCCTAATGGGACAGAGCTGAGCAGCACAGCACCTCCACAATGCCATGGTGCCTTGGCTGCCCTGGGAGTGAGATGCATTAGGGGAATGAAAGGTTTAATTTTAGGGCTCCAAGAGAGTAAGAACAAACTATTGGTTGTAAACTTGCACGCACTTGTGTAGGGCAAGGGTGGGGGGAGATCAATTGGTACTGTGAGCTGCTTTGGCTCCAGAAGATTTGCAGGTTATCTGTGAGCATTACTTAAGTGTGGAGAGTAAAAAGGTTAAAACATCCTTCTATTAAAGTTTCTAGTCAGACAACTTAAGAACATATTACAGAGCTGCTCTGTCCTATGAATCTGACTGGAATTACAAGATTTAGGGTACAAGTAGCACCCAGCCCTGACCCCGCACAGATTATATTACTGACTGGAACCAGGCTCAATAGTAACCCCTAAGAACCTTAGTGTGTTTAAACATTTCCATTTAATATCAAACTGCAGAGGCCAGAGAGGGCTGCTGAGAAGTAGTCAGCATATGTTTGGGTGAATTTTAAAGAGTGAATGAAAACCCTGAGATCAGAAAGGAAGGAGGAGCTAAGGAATAAGCATCACCTACTCTGACCATCCTACCCCTGTCCCTAATCTGCCTTTCAGACCTATGATCCAAAGAAAAGGGAGTTGATACTAGTACACAGGGATCTTAACTAGGGCTGTAGTCAGTCCTTGCTGTGTTCTCTGATTTACATTATAGCGGTTTTCCCCCAAAGAACAATGCCCTCCTATGATCTGATACACCCCCCATAAAATCAATCACTTTCAAGTTTGAAGTCCCTGGATGCTGAAGGCCGCTGGATCTTAGTATTGATTGAAGCAACACCATGATTGAGGCCTGGGAAATCAAAGCTGCAGTGATTGCACGGCAAGAAGATCTCAGCCTTGCCTGCCTAGAGACTAGAAACTGCATGTAGTCAACTCCTTTGGCCCTGCCATAAGAAACACACCCATGGGGAGCTCAATACAAAATTTCTGCTTATGCTCCACAACCAAAGTACACTGAAAAGGGAAAAGGTCCAGATCACTTCCAGCTCCACAAAAACCAAAATCTTAACACATGCACCTAGGATTAATACTGAGTAATTAAAAGTGACTATTTTGAAAAAAACTTCATGGTAAGTGTATCTATCTTTGAGGGAAGGCCATGATAAATATACAAATCAGATGTTTCCTCTCCAAACAGTGGTCACCAGTAGTTTTGGCTTTTCCCCCAGCAGCATCAACCAAAATCGGCTTCGTGATCTTTTACACTCTGTTCCCCTCACTGAGAATCCACACGTGTACTAATTCCCACTTCTTCCCCACTTGTCCCACTCCCGGGGCGGGGGGGGGGGGCAATAACCCTGCCTTCAAAATAAATGGCAACCAAGTGCTCAGTTCTATGTAAAGTATGAATATTTATTTCAGGCTTCAGATCCCAATCAATTCAAAAAGCAAAATCTGATTTCTCTCCTCAGAGTAGCCGAGGGCTCCATGTTAGGATGATTTCATGGAGGCTGAAGGAGCACATTTCATCAGGCTCAGCACAGAGTCCCTGACGCCCACCGTATCCCAGCGTTGGGGAAAGAAAAACAAAATTCACCACCATGGGGTAGAACGAATGTGCACACGCTAATGTAAAAGAGCAGCTAAACCTTGGCAAATTTTTTTTTTTTGAACTTTGTTTTGTAGGTTTTTTTCCATTCTCTTTTGCTACCCAGTATATGCAGCACTTGTGAACTGCCAAGAGGTTCCCAGCTTTAAACTCATTAAATGTCTTGAAAGACTATTTAATTCCTCAAGAATCTAAAAACAGACCAAACGTGTTTTGCTGTGAACATTCTGTAGAGACGAAGTGAGGCGGGAGTTTGGGTTGATGTTTTTTAAAAAAGAATCAATACAGTGATGGAAGGGTAAAGAATGCAAGAATTCAGACATTCTGTGTAGGGTTGCTCTCTCTCCATTTAAGGTCCATAAAAAGGAGCAAACTGAGATCCATAAGGGGAGTCAGCAGGAGCTGTGTTTGTTTTCCCCACCCCCTGTGAATAGGTTTTTGCTGAGGGGCCATTGTTAGGTCCCCACTTGCTCCCCTCCCTTTGGCCTGAGATGGCAGGGCAGTACAGGGGCATTTAAAGAGCATGTCACGACTCCTCATTCCCAGAATCATCATCATCGTAACAGTCGGCATCTTCTTCCTCCTCATCTTCATCATCAATGTCGTCATCATACAAGTCATAAAGCAAATCTGAGCTGTTATCATTGGAAGGCACTTTAGTTTTGATGCAGTATTCAGCCAGGGTTGTGGGGACCTTCACTCCATCCTTTTCTGCTTCGGCCTTGGTGGCTGAAACCTGTTTCCTGAAGAGTGAATGACACAAAAATGATATGATTATTTATTTTTTTTTAGAGACAGACTCTCACTTTATTGCCCTTAGTAGAGTGCTGTGGCATCACAGCAACCTCCAACTCCCGGGCTTAGGTGATTCTCTTGCCTCAGCCTCGCTAGTAGCTGGGACTACAGGCGCCCACAACAACGCCCGGCTATTTTTTTGTTGCAGTTTGGCCGGGGCTGGGTTCGAACCCGCCACCCTCCATATATGGGGCTGGCGCCCTACCCACTGTGCCACAGGTGCCGCCCAATAATTCTCTGTTTTGAAGATAGATTTTTTTTTCAGTTATAACAAATTTTATTTAAGAACAAAGAGAAAGCTTAGAGTACTTCCAAAGAGATTTTGAAGTGGGTCCCTCTCATGAATGAGAAAAAGTGCAAGAGACAGACACAAAGGCAGTGCAGAGGCATAAATACCTCTTTCTCTCCATTTGAAATTGGTTGCAACTCTTTAAAGATGGATTTATAACTGTCCTTGTAACTCTCCTTTCCAAACTTCAGTATCTGTCTGAAAGCATCAACAGACATACCCTGTACTAATACCAAATTCATTCAACCCTTTTGGTACCCAATTATGAC